TATGTAGTTCACAACATGTCGACACATAATTGGGAGTTTTTCAATACGTTTAGTCTCTGTAAACCGATTTAAGCAAACAGGCACATCCAAAGTCCGTTTTTCCTTCATAAAATCATGTTAGCGCATTTCATATATTACCGAGTTGGCCTTCAACAAGCTGTACACTATTCGACGGTTTGTTGTAACAAGGACAATAAAATGCATCTTATTACGAAGGGTGTTTTGCTTTTTCCACCGCCTTTTAATGAGAAAACAAACAGAATAAGAACATATTAAAATATTCCATTTATTTCTTCATAATTTAACTAATACTTTTAACATCAATTAAATTATAAACCGTATTTACACAATCACCTAACTACAAATCACTACCAAAATAGCTTCTTTTATCGGAAGTGTAAAAATGTATTGTTTCGCTTTTGTACAATATAAAATGATTTTGATATACTTCGAAACAATCTGCCCCAATAAACGCAAATCGGTCTCTCAGCCCATCTTTGCTGAACGGTAAAACTTGTTTTTAAACCAACTGTTTTGCTATCCTGATTTGTACCATAATTTCCTCTGCCTATATTATAAAAGATTCTAAAAAAATGTACAATTCTAGAGATGCGATTTATAGAACGTTGAACGCATAATTTATTAAGTTGCGACCCTTAGGGGTCCCAATAGTGGCTAAAGAAGAAAGGCTTTGGCGGTGCAAAAGTAGTTAGCGTAGTTTATAATCTTCCAATCTTTGATATGTAAAAGTACATAAAATAACATTTTTACAATATATACATATCCAGTTTAAGCTCGAATTTACCGTCTAATATCGCATCAACTGAGAATTTGTACGAAATTAGACAATCGAATTCAAGGCGTATCTTTACAAGGCACTCTCGTAGGTCCTAACTAATCAAATAAAACATCTTAAAGACACGACATTTCAAATAAGGGGCATTCGACCTAAGGGATGGAAACAATAATGTGTGCCACTTGAGCTGCACCCCCATTTAAACTCAACAAAAAACAAGTTACTATATAAACTAATCAAATCAACCAACCATATTATATACATTGGCTATAAATATATAAAATCTGTCACAAGCCTTCATGTATGACAATATTTACAACCCTTTAAATATGTAGATAGCAACGGGATTTTTCAATTGCCTCGCCCAAACAACTTAATGCATTGTTTGCGAACTGAGGTCACTTAAAGAAAGCAGTTGAAGTGTTGAGAAGGAAAAACAAGTTGGAACAAGAACATTGATTTAGGGACTCCGTCAGCCAGTTCTAATGTAGAACCGTTGCTAAATCAATCGGTAACTCAATGTACAATTGTACATTTAACTAATATGTACAAATATCAGAGTCACGATGCAATACAAAAAACAATCAAGTTTAAGCTATTTACCACAGAAGACCCGAATGTCCACCACGCATACTCATTCCGTCTTCTGCTGGCAATACAGTTCTTTGAGCGCTTTCAATTCGTCGATTAGCGCCTTGTTTTGATTCTCCAGCACCGCCACTCGGTTCTCCAAACACTTTATATATTCCTTCTTTTTCCTTCGACATTCTCGAGCCGCTTCCCGGTTTTTAAGTAGTCTCATTTCGCGTTTTCTCGCCTGGTCCTCACCGCCCCCTTGGTTTATGCTGCCCGTCTGCGCCACAACTGAAACAAATCAACGTGTTTTTCTTGAAGTTTCACCGATTAACAATAAAAAAAACAAATATTTACCAGGCACAAAGAATTCCTGGCCGGGGGAATACTGAACAATTGCTCCTCCTGCGGTCGCATTAGTCATAGTCAGCGCATGAATTCCCTGGCCGCCGTCCCCGCTCGAAATTTGTATAGCTGTAGCGGGCAGAACTGCAAGCAAATTAAACTGAGTTTAGTCATTTTGAACGAGCAGTCTTAAGCGATTTATCCCACATAGAAGGGTAGACTCGTTAGAGCACCCCAATCAGTTCGTTACTCCATAATAGTGTAGTTTAAAGGCGAGCAAACTAGAAAACTAACCTGTGTGGTATGGGATAGAATGTGACGACAATTCACTCTCGGCCTCTGAGGAATTCTGCTCGATCTTGGGCTCTGCGAACATCGTAACAAAACCTTCAATTTAGAAAATTTCCACTGCATTACTTTGCGGTTTGTACAGAAACTAAATTTGGTCACAATCCATTGTTTTCTCATTTTGTCTACGGTAGTGATCCCATACCACAAAAACACGTTGAACCGACCGAAAGTCTAACAGGAAAGGGGCTATTTCAACAAACCTAGGTGGACGAATGCACTAATCTCTATTACACAATAGATTAGAAAACTTCAGCCCATACTTTGGCTCCGGAGTCGTTGAAATAGCCGCATTATCGATACTTTTGCACGTGCATGCAGATGGAAAATCCAAAAATTAAAACAATGGGTTTGTCCCCAGTAATGCATACTCAAACAAAACCACATACACAATCACTCTGAGCAGCAAGGATGGATTTGAGTTTACATTACGCCGCTCTAAGCATGCACGATTTCGGTGAACCAAATTTACTTTCTAGATGGCCAAAAATATGCCAAGTTCGACTGAGTAACCAACGCGGGAAGCGAATCGGTTCTTAGCGTATTTGCTACGTAAAAACACAGTCAGCCATGCAAAACGTTGATAATCAAAGAACCCAAACCAGAGTGAAACTAATGGAAAAGCCCCATGAGTTCTTTTGAAACAATGCTGACGAGGACGGTACTTCTAAGTGCTAAAAGTTATTAAATAAGCCAATCACCAAGAGGCTCGGCTCAACACAGAGCGGTTGCTTTTGCACAAAAACTGCTTCAATTCGGGAGAAAACAATATTTTGGCACTCATTAGCAAGCTGATTGCACAGCCTTAGCATGCTTAAGTAACATACCAGCTATCTCACCCCCTCCAAGATCGTTGAGTATTTTCCGGTATGAGGGCCGTCTTGTTAGCAGGTCGTGCCTCTTCTTTAGAGACTCATCGTCCGAAAAACTGTCATCGCTGCCTGTAGCTTCAACCACCTTAAAAAATCTACATGTAAATATCGTCATGGTTTGAACAGAATGTCTGATTTTGCCAGTTGTTTTAAACTAAATGTTGGTCCACAGAACACCTCTGAACTTAGTTAAGCCGGTGTCTCATGCATCCGTTTATACGAAAGTGTTTCTATTGGTTGGAGATCTGTCAATTCGTCCACCGTCTTACGAACGGAGAACGAATTGACAGATCAGACGGACTTTAGTCTACTCACATGTCAGAATCTTAGTTGCCACCTAGTCGCGAGAGCGTGAACTAATCAACCGAACAACCACCCGCATGTAAAACGTCCTACAATCTCACTTCTACTAACGATATTCGCATGCAAACAAACGCGATTAACATGGAATTAATTACCGGAGCTATAAAAAATTAAAATTAGTAGTGCCGGCGTTTTGACGTCACGCGCACCATAATTTATAGCTGGTGGGTCTTTAAATAAGTTGAAACCCCGACGGTTTATTGAAAGATAATTGAGCGGACTTTTGCAAATTGACGTCATTTGGGTTTCTGTTTGGGATCCCGATTAGATAACGCGTTCCACTTAAATTGGAAAAATGCGCGTGTAAAGTAATTTCATTTGAACTCAACAAGTGAAACTTTGAAACAAGTGGTTCTTGTTGGCAGCAGGGGCGGATCCAGCATTAAATTCAGGGGGGGGGTTATGTAGATAAGTCTTTTATCTATGAAATTCGAAAAATGATGGTCGTTTTGTGCAAGGGTGGCGCAAGATGACGCCTTTATTCGAAGTTTCTTAAGAACCATTAGAGCCACAGAATTCGTTTTCGCATCGTTGGATAGAAAATTGAAAAGTCCATTCAGTCGTAACAACGTTAGTGAGGAAATTCGAGTAGTTTTGACTCAGAAAGCGAAATTTGAATATCAAATACTCAGATGCAAGATTAGGCCAACATTTCATGTTTTCCGTCCCGTTTTTGCTCATTTCTCGGAGGCGAAATGAGCAAGAACGCTCATTTGTACATCATTCTAGAGAGAAATAAATGGCCTTTTTAGAAAGTGAACCATCGATAAGGAAATG